GGGGCGGGGGAGGGGGAGCCTTAGTCATTTCCCCGCTCCAGCCCGCGCCGCCCGAGCGCGCACTCACGGCCGCTCTCCTTCCTCGCTCCGCAGCCGCGGCCCATGGAGCCCGCCGGCCCGGCCCCCGGCCGCCTCGGGCCGCTGCTCTGCCTGCTGCTCGCCGCGTCCTGCGCCTGGTCAGGTAAGCACCCCTACTCCCCACCGATGCCCGCCCGGAACCGCGGGCTCGGGCCTCGCAGACCGCCGCTGGGAGCCGCTCGGCTAACGTGCAGCAGTCCTAGGGGGAGAGACGCCTGTCACCAGGGTTACAGATGCAGAAACTGAGGCCCAGAGAGGGCCAACGACTTGCCCAAGGTCACACAGCCATGGCTAGCACCCAGGATAGAACTCTTCCTATAAAGGTCTGTTTCTATAGACTGTGACAGTGCGACACTGTGCTGGGCACTGGGACTTAGTGAAGAGTCGGTTTACCCAGCCCCTGCCCAATGCAAGGAGGACGGCAGGCTGTCAGTGGCTCTTAAGCAGGGTGGCTTTGCTCCGAGCTGTCTTTCTAGACTTAGGGCTTTCCACAGGTTTGACTTCAGAGTCCAGAGAGCGGGTGGGGGCCGAGACGCTGCCTGGAATGAAACAGGCTGTTGCAAATAGGAAAGAGTGAGTCCTCCCTCGGGTACGGAGAGTCGAACAGTGTCAGTGTGTGTGCGGGAGTGGGGGTTGGCAGGAGCCAGGGAGGCCCAGGGGAGACTGCCTGCGATCTACTGATGTCTCCTGAAAACGCTGTGGATTGTCCCCGGGGTGGCAAAGCCTCTGGCTGGATACTCCTCCTGGCTGCTCTCCGGCTCCCCCTTGCTCTGCCTTCCCCAGGCTTCCAGGGCAGCTCCCGCAGTTCAGGTGTTCCGCGGGGCTGTTACCTGTGGCTCTGAGCATGTCTTTTTGTTGGCCTACATCAAACACCTGGCAGGCAGGCAGCAGGCAGCGGGCTGTGAGGGCTACTGTGTGTATTCGCCAAGGGGTGAGGTCACCGTTCAGGAGTCCTGCTTCTTAAAGGGTTTTTGCAAAAACAGGAGTCTCCTGGGAGGAGGTGAAGCTCCGAGCAATGGCGTTGGAGGAGTTGCGGAGGGAGGGGATTGGAGGGGGGGGTCTTGTCTTGTGGCCTCTGGAAGCTGTAGTGGACAGGGGTCTCTGCATCTGCCACCGTGAGCAGGGAGGTAAGGATGAGCTCAGTGTGCACCCCCCCCCAACACACCCCACCCCTTTGCATTTGCCTGGAAACTGGTTACCATCTGATAGCACTGAGAAAAAGAGAACTAGCAGAGAGGGGGTGGAAGGAGGGTGGGGGATGGACGGCAGCTTCTCTCTGCCCTGCATTTAGTTCCCCCTGAGCCCCAGCAGCCCACAAGGTGTCCCCCCACCCCCAGTTCTTCTCAGTCGCAGTGGGCTCCTTGCTGGGTGGACACGGAAGCTCTGATACATTTCCTATCTTTCCCGTGAGTGGATCTCAGATCTTCTTCCTGCCCCAGCCAGCCATTTGTACCCTGCAAAAAAAAAA